CTATTTATATATATATATATATATATATAATTTTTAATACCTATGTTAGAATTAAGATTAAATTGGAATAACTAATCAAAATAAAATTTTATCTTATTGACCTTGAATTTTCTTTTTCTGATTAGTTAAATTTTAATCCAATTTCAATTTTAATTTGTAATCTAGACTTAATGAAATTCCTTCCTCTTCCTTTTCACACATACACACACACACACACACACACACGCGCGCGTGCACGCACACGCACGCACGCACTCACGCCGCGCGTGCACACAGAGCCATCTAAATTAATAATTATTTATATATACTTATAAAGTAATTTAATTTAAATATTTATATTTTGTATATTACAATGTATATTTACATATCTCTGATAAATAAATATAAATATATTTATTTTACACATTTATTTATTATGATGTAATTTGAACATATAACTTTTCCTTGTAAAAAAATATGAAAAATATCATGTGAATCTGCGTATTCATATAACTCTTTAATCAATACGTAATACTTGAAAAAGTTCACGCGAAACCAGAATGAGCTAAAAGTGAAAATGTTAAAGATGAATATCCGTTTGAAGTTACGTGATCGGGGCGTTCAAAGGTCTTTATGCTATAACTTTTGGAAATAAACACCATTATGAATAAAAAGTACTGTTAGGAATAGATTTTAATTTTATCGATTATTTATTCGATACCTGCATGTTCGATAGGTAAGAATGATGTCTGCTATAGCAAGCAAAATCTGATAACTTGAGACGCACTGATCAATAAGTAATGTGAGTTTCAAATAAACCCTGTTTGATAATAAATTAATGTAATATAATAACAATAATTGCAAAAAAATATGCTGTATTTATACATATTTTGGATATTGAGTTTTGCTATATTATTCTTTCAATAAATTATTGAGGTTATGAAAATGTTTTCTCAAATCTATACCTTCTTATTTATATTGCAAATTGACACAATGATACATATGTGATTTGTTTTCTGTAGTTGAAATACTGTGTGTACATTCGTTGTATTTAAAATAAAAAGATATACATTTGAAGTTTGACAAAGGCGAGATAGAAAGTTTAGTATAGCCCAGTGAATGGAAAACAAATTTAAAATGTGGCAACAGTTTGTTTCTTAATAATTAGATATCAAATCATCTGCCAAAAATCAAAAATACAATATTCATTCTTGAATTATTGTTCATTATGTAGATATATGCGCTGTTACAATGAATGACGAATATATAGTAAAAACTGTCCTCCATGGCGGATCAAAAGTTATTAACTTTGTACCAGGAACCAAGGTACGTGTTTTTTTTTATTATGCTTTTCTATTTATAAAATTGTTACAGATCTGATTATCTTTAACTAGTTTTATATTTCTAGGTTATATTTCATTTTAAAACTACAAAATGTGATTTTGATAAAACAGTGATAGATGATAGTAGAACAATGGAAAATCCGATGGAACTCATATTAGGAAAAAATTTAAATTAGAAGTGTGGGAAGCAATCATACAAAAAATGGCATTAAATGAAGTTGCCTGTTTCAAAGTAGACAAAAGTGTATGCTTATATTGTTCATTGTTACAAATATAGGTTTAGTATATTGGGAATACACTTTTTTGATGAATCCTGTTTTAGCTAGTAACTGCATACCCTTTTGTTTCTAAGACATTGAGAGAGGCTGGGAAACCACAGTCACAAAAACGCAATCATCATTGCTGTGGTGTTACTCTTCAAAATGAAGGCATTGGTTATGCCGATTTGAATGAACTTATAAAATATCCTCAAGATCTGGAATTTACAATAGGTACAGATATGGAATATATATTTTATTAAAATTCATGTAAAAATCTATTTTTATAATTTTTATTTTTATTTTTTTGTTTTATAAGCATGAAAATATAATATATTGTTTTAATAAGTTTACAGTGTTGTAAATTTAAACAATAAAACAATAGGATTGAAATTTTTGTAGAACTCATCAAAGTAGTATTGCCAAATGAGTATGAGAAAGAGTCATGGCAAATGACAGAGGATGAAAAGCTTGAAAGTATTCCACAACTGAAAGAAAAGGGAAATGCCTTGTTTAGAGAAAAAAAATATGACAGCGCTTCTGAAATATATGCAAAGGCCATTGGAATGTTGGAACAGCTTATGCTAATGTAAGTTCTAATTATAAGGAGAGAAGTACATTTTTTAAAACTCGATATAATTAAGACACAAAGAATTACATTTGCAGCATATATTGTTAATAATTTGATTTTTAGTGAAAAACCAAATGATGAAGAATGGTTATCTTTGAATCAAATGAAGATACCATTACTTTTAAACTATGCGCAATGTAAACTATTAAATAAAGAATATTATTCAGTTATCGAACATTGTACAACAGTTCTGAAAACAGAGCCAGGTATTTGACAAACTTGTTACAGAATTAAAGATTGCATAAAATCGAAATCAGAATATATTTGTTTTTTATTTGCAGATAATGTAAAAGCGCTTTATCGAAGAGGTAAGGCATACATAGGTGCATGGGACGAAAAAAATGCCATTAGAGATTTAAGGAAGGCTGCTGAATTAGATCCTACTTTGCGCAATACTGTTGAAAAAGAGTTACAAGCATTTGCAATAGCCATTAAAGAGAAGGATAGCGCACAAAAAGAGAAATTATCGAAAATGTTTAAATGAACCTGATATATTTAATCATATTGTAATTATCGATGTGAAATGAATTTTTAAGTCTTTTTTTATCTCGGATCGATTTAATTTTTTAAAACTTGGTGTCAAATTCGTTTATATGTATAAAAATATGTTTTGCAGAATCTGCTTGATTTCTGCCTCTTTGTTAGATAGATTATCAACAGGCTTACATTCTGCAGGATTACATTCTGTTAGCAGAATGTAAGCAGAATGTGTCCTCAAATGAGGTCAGTCTGCCAATATTTTCAGATCAAATTTGTTGTCAGTTTGCTAATATTCTTCTAGCATTTTGCTGAATAATATAAATAATTATAAAAAATATCAGTAATAAAGTAATATATTTATATTATTATTTATTATATATAAAATAAGAAAATTATAAATAAAAAATTGTTTGTGTAAAATTTTAAAGTGAAATTAATTTTAAAGCTGAAATATAAATTGATTTTATGTGAATGTAATTATTTAAGATTATTGTAATCACATAAGTTATATGAATATTAGGTATAAGAATTTGTAATCGTACGAATAGCGCCATCTGCATAAGATGGATAATTTTGAGGTTACCTACCAATCACGTTACGAAGATTGCGAATCGTCGAGAAGCGTGAAGTATGTTTGACATATGGCATAACTTATTGTGCAATGCTTGGAGTAAAGAAAACGTGAGCTCGACAATGTTCCTAAAGATTTAATTCGTGCAATAAATGTTAAGGTAAATTAATTTTTTTATCTTGATTCTTGGATTTTTTGAATAAAATTTTTGAATAAAGTTATTTATCATGTGGTTTAACCTATATAGTTAACTTTTCTTTTACAATATATAATCACATTATATATTTTCCAGTAATAAACTTCAGAGCATGTTAAATTTTTCTATATATTAGCATTTTTTGTAATGTAAAATTTACATGGAGATTTATATTTATATTAATTTTAATTTATGAAACTTAATTTTTTATGAGTGATAAATGTCTTACATGTGAAATTGATTTTTTGTGTTTTTTATATTTAAGATAAAAAAATTCTTCAAGATGAAGCTAGTATCAAGAAATGTAGATAAAGATGGAGAAGGGTAAATATATTTTTTATATACAGTATATAATTTGTTTAATTGTAAGCAATGTGATTATCAATGAATCTTTAGGCGAGTATCTCTTGTCCCTGAAAATACAGAGGACATGTGGCACGCCTATAATCTCATTAGTGAAGGGGACTTTGTAAGCTGTTCCACTATTAGGTACTCTAAGTTTTTATATTTGATAGTAATAATTAATTTGATTATAATTAGTATACTATTTTGCTAATTCTTTATATTTAATATAGGAAAGTGCAAATGGAATCTGCAACTGGTAGCTCTAACAGTTATAGAGTTAGAACTACTCTAACGATATGTGTAGAAAATATTGATTTTGATACGCAAGCATGTGTTTTACGACTTAAAGGTAGAAACGTAGAAGAAAATAAATATGTTAAGGTAAATGACAATGCTTAAATTTTAATTATAACATTTAATTATGACATTAATGTTTCAAGAACATCTCATATTGATGTTAGTGTTCATTATCATATTATTGTATATGATCATTTTAGTGAATTTTTGAATAAGCAATGCTAAAATGAACAAAGGCATGTTTATATTATTACTTGCATTATTATTAAAGTATTTGTATTATATTAAAAGGACTAAGTTTTTTAAGTTAATTATATTTTAGATCATTTGAATAGTAAAAATATAGTCTTAATAATGGAGTCTTATTCTAAAGTCTTATTTTTTATATCTTGTTCTTGTTTTTACATATTTGTATATATATTTAATTATTTATTTATATAAATTATTATTGTTAAATAATAGAATATTTATGTAATTATATTTGACTATTTCTTTTTATTTTATAGACAGGAGCATATCATACATTGGATGTTGAACAAAATCGGAAATTTAGTATCACTAAAACTAAATGGGATTCTATCTCTTTGGAAAGAGTCGACACTGCATGCGATCCTGCACAGGTTGATGATTTTTGAAAATAAAGATTATATACATTTGGCTACAACTGTCTCTTTTATTTTAGAATGCTGATGTAGCTGCCATAATTATGCAGGAAGGCATAGCACATATTTGTTTGATAACTTCCAATATGACAATCGTCCGTGCGAAAATTGATCAAGTTATACCAAGGAAGAGAAAAGGAAACGTTTCACAACATGAAAAGGTTAGAAAAACATGTTAATTATTAAAAACTGTTTTATACAAATAAGTATAAGTAGAATTTCTAACTGGATACATATTCAGGGTTTAACACGATTTTACGAGAGCATTGTGCAAGGCATATTAAGGCACGTTAATTTTGATCTAGTAAAGTGCGTTATCCTTGCTAGCCCTGGTTTTGTGAAAGATCAATTTATGGACTACATGATACAGCAAGCTGTTAAATCTGATAATAAAATTATTTTAGATAATAAAAGTAAATTTTTGCTAGTTCATGCTAGTTCAGGTTTTAAACATTCACTGAAAGGTAATGTATATGTATTTATAAATCTATGAGCATATATATGCTTATAAATTATCATTGTATTTATACTTTAATCCATTATTACAACAGAGGTTCTAGCCGATCCCACTGTAATCTCTCGAATTTCGGATACCAAAGCAGCGGGAGAAGTAAGAGCTTTAGAAACATTTTATAATACTCTACAGACGGATCCTGCTAGAGCGTTTTATGGCAAGAAACATGTTGAAAAAGCTAGTGCTGCTCAAGCAGTGGAAACTCTACTTATATCAGATAAATTGTTCAGGTGATTTTATTACTCTGCTACTAATTTTAATTTTAATCTTATTTAATTTTGCTTTAAAGTACACTTCTTGAACTTTTGTTGTTTGTTGTAACCATCGTGTAGGTGTCAAAATGTAGCACTGAGAAAAGAATATGTTGACCTAGTTGAAAGCGTGAAAGACTCTGGTGGTGATGTTAAAATATTTTCGAGTCTACATGTTTCGGGTGAACGTAAGTCTTACATAAATAAATTACTCAAATTTGCAAAATATAAAAGTCTTAATAAATAACATAAAATATTTATTGTATTTTCAAGTGTTAAACCATGATTATATTTTTAGAATTAGATCAATTAACTGGAATAGCGGCTTTATTACGTTTTCCTATGCCGGAACTAGAAGACGAAAGTGAAGACTCAGAAGAAGATTAAAAGCACTACTGATATACTAACAACTAACAACTTTGTATATATCTGTGCTATGCGCAATCAAAAATATCATATTAATAGTAAAAGGAAAAAATGATCTTTGTATTTATTTCATATGTTTAAGAATTTTGTATCTTATAGTTTACATATAATACTATTTGTGATAAAGTTGCACTTAAAAATTTGCGTTATGTTACAATCGTTTGCTGTTTATTGTTATTTCGTTCATATAATATAAAACAGGATTAAAATTAAGAAATATATCATAGAGATGATATATTTAAAATCTTCGTGAATATGAATGTAAATGATCTGCATTGGTATATGTAATATGAAAATATTAAATAATTAAAAAGTATAGATGAAATATAAATGCATTGATATATACACTAATGTAATAATAAGTACATACATATACATATTATGCATATTATGCATATTCAACTTTCATTTAAGTAATCACCAATCGCTTATTATATTGAAAAACAATATGGTGGCTAAAAGGAACCAATCAGATGTTGTTCAGAAATGATTGCGAAAGACGCTCTTTCTTATAGGCATATCATCTCTCTAGTTTCTTCATACTTCTAGTTCAGAACAGTGGTGCAGAGGTTTCATCGGTTTCATCTTTTTGCACGTGTTTGCATGTAGCATTTACTTTATATTTAAATTTCATGTTGTCACATAACTTTTTAGTGTTTAAGTATTAAATATAAAGTAAACTACGATGGTTGTAATAGGTAAAAAGAAGGTGAGTAAAGAGTTTCTTTTTTATTTAGTATATTATTCTTCATTATGGATAGGAGAGGTTAGGTTGAAATTTTATGAAAATGCAATGAATCCAACGTTTTTGTGAATTAAAAATCGGCATTTTTTAAATTTGCAGTATCAAAGTGGTGAGGGAGCGCAGTTTATGACGAGGAGAGCTGCTCTCAGGAAATTACAGTTAACTTTAAAGGATTTCCGTAAATTATGTATATTAAAAGGCATATATCCAAGGGAACCGCGCAATCGTAAGAGAGCGCAGAAAGGTGAACCTGGTATTAAAACTTTGTATCACAAAAAGGATATTCAATTTTTGATGCACGAACCGATTATATGGCAACTAAGAGAGTACAAGGTATAACAACTTATTAAAATTGAATGTTCATAGTATAAACATATATACCATATAAACATATATACTACAGCTTTATAAACATATGTTTCTAGATATTCAACAGAAGAATTGGAAGAGCGAAGGCAATGAAAGATTTTGCCAAAGTAAGGAGATATCTGAATAACCATCCTGTATTGAAGATAGATCACATAGTCAAGGAGCGTTATCCAACGTTTATAGATGCATTACGAGATTTAGACGACTGTTTGACTCTTTGCTTTTTATTCAGCACATTCCCATCATTGGCTCATATACCGAGAGACCAGTCGTTATTGTGCAGAAGACTAACGATAGAATTTCTTCATGCTGTTATTGTTGCTAAAGCATTACGTAAAGTATTTGTATCCATCAAAGGATATTATTATCAAGCAGAATTAAAAGGACAAACAATAACATGGATAGTACCGCATCATTTTTGTTTCGAGCCTCAAACAAAGGATGAAGTTGATTTCAAAGTCATGTCTACATTTGTAGAATTTTATATCGTGATGCTTGGTTTTGTGAATTATAGACTGTATCATACTCTGAATTTGCATTATCCACCCAAACTGACAAATTCTGGTGAGCATTATTTAATACAAATTTATCAACACATTGATATGAGATTTAATTCAACTAAAACATTAAAACATTAAATATACAGGAAATATTGAAAAAACGCTGGTTGATGAAGAAGCATTTGTCTCGGAGAGGATAAGCGCATTAAATGTTTCATTAGTCAATTTGGATTCTTCATTATCGGAGGTTGAAGATGATATTGAGTTAGATCAATTTTCTAATGTAAATAGTGTTAATTTTGTTTTGCATATTATCGATTGTATATAGATAAAGTTTAAATATGTTGACATATTAATTTTATTTCTTCTAGGAGACGGACGCTGCCAAAGTAGAAGCTGCTAAGGCAGAAGCTGAAAAGATACGAAAACTGAAAAATTTGTTTAAGGGTCTGAAAATTTTTATCAACAGAGAAGTGCCTAGAGAACCGTTAGTATTTATTTTACGTTGCTTCGGCGGAGAAGTATCTTGGGATAAGTTGCTCTTTGTTGGAGCCACGTTTGATGAAAATGACGAAACAATAACTCATCAAATTGTAGATAGACCGAGTATTAGCAAACAATATGTATCAAGGTACTATGTTTGTTTTATTAGTTTATTAGGTTTCAAATTCTCATGTAATCTTTCTGAATTATTATAATTTTTTTTTAGATTCTATGTACAACCACAGTGGGTTTTCGACAGTGTGAATGCAAGAGAATTATTGCCCGTAGAAAAATACTTAATGGGTGTTGTGCTTCCTCCTCACCTTTCGCCATTTACAGAGAATCGACAAGATCAAACATATATTCCTCCAGAAGAGCGTGCTCTTATGGATCCTGATTATAAATTAAATAATAGTAAGATTTTGATTCCAAATGAATATATACAAATAAATGTTATCATTTATCTAATTTATATTTATTTATACTTTATCTAGTGGAAACAGATTCTGATGAAGATGAGAAAGATGAAGAAGTCGATGATAAAAATAAGAATAAAAAAGAAGAAATTGAAGCTGAAAACGATTTGAGTTCCGGAAACGAAGAAGAGGAAGAAGAAGAAAAAGATGACGATAATGATGTGCAGATTGAGGAAAAAGAAAAAGAGAAGAAGAAAAAACAAAACCAATTGCAAAAGGTTTTATTAAAATTTTCTGTAATTTTGTAATTTTGAGAAAATTAATAATTTAGAGAAAATTAATCTTGTAAATATTTGCAACCTTACAGAAAAAAAAGATGAAGGTACAGGCTGGTGAGATTATAAAGGAAAATTCATGGGAGAAGGCCCGACAGGAAAAACAAGAATACCGTCTCAGAGAGAAGATGATTAAAAAGAAACATCGCAAATTGTACAAGAGCATGATGAAAGGTCGAGAGGAAAGAGCTAAAGAAATTTGGCTCTTGCGAAAGAAAAGGCGTATCCATGATGCTAAGGAAAAAGAGAAACGAAAAGAACAAAGAAAAGCAAATAAAAATAAATCTGTCAAGTAAAATGTAACGACGTATCATTTAAATACAAAATAAAAACTGTTTACGTTTATGTCGCCCCATAATTTTTTATTTAATAATAAATATAAAAATAAGGATAATAAAAATACAAGTAAGAAATGTTATATGTTTCATTTATATTACATTAATATCGTTATGATTATTTTATGTAATAATTTCAAGATTAAATATAAAAACTAAAGATATGAAACTTTAATTTTACTGTATGTCAAGATTTTATGTACATTCTTTCTTGTATATAAATCCTATAATATTATAAACCTTAGATATATTCTAATATATTTTAATCGGTAATTGTAATCGGTAGTTTACAGGATACGGAGACGCTCGCGTGATATTGATCTTTTTCCCTGATTGATAGATACAGTTATGTATCATGGCAGATGCTTTTTATCTAATCCTCCCACCGGAAGCCCACGCGCTTGACGATCTTGGTCTTTTTCAACGAAGGACTCTGAAGGCCAGTCCACCCACGCATGCTGGCCCACGCGAAACTTTCTACATGCATAGGTCAGATCGCGACTGCCATTTACTTGTGCACGCGCGGCTATGGCGAGTGGTGAAATTTGAAATTCAAAGTCGATATTCCAAAGTTCTGACGTTAAAGTGACTTCGGAATAGCACAATATTCATATAAAATTACAATTGCGAAATAAAAATATCTATTTTTTTTTTATCTTAGATTTGGACTTCTCGGATGCGCTATGAGCGAAATTCGACAAGGCTGTTCTCTTTTTTTTTAACGCGGAACGCTTACTTTCTCGCGATTACGTCTTGCAATGCCTCCCGCTGCGTCATGGCCTCTATAAAAAAATTCCTTCGTGTCCCGCCGATCTCCTACGAACGCGGTAGAGGTCGTACATTGATCTTGAGAAATTGCGGAGTAGAAGGTTGCTCATAATAGGACACGTTTCTCTTATTAGGTCGTCAATACCGTCGCGCCTGCGATCGTCCCCGTGACTTTCGCTAGGCGAATCTAAGCGAACTGGTATCGAAGGACGGAGTCATTTGATAGCGGATACGTTATTGCCGGTGCATCCGGCCGCACTCCGCGCGCCAGCCGCGCATCACCTTGAATCCGAGCCTCCGGTGTGACGCCGCGAGTGGGATGCAACTGGAACGTGTTTCTGGAGCTGCATACTTCTACATAACGAATTCCCATTTTTACGTTTATTAATAGCCGCGAGTACGTCCTGACGTTCGGAGGATCGCCGAGACCCCGAGGAGCCCCGACGTTAATTAACAATTTAAAAACAATTACCTAGGCTCGAGGCTTCCTAAGCTTTAATTTCGAGAATCGCAATTAATCGTGGGTAGTAATTAATCGCGAAATTTATAATTAAATCACATTTTTGCCACGATACGTTTTCCATTTTTTTTTCCCTATCCTTGTCTCTCTTTCTCGTTGCGCTTCTCGCGGTCGGTTGACGTCGATGCGAGTGCAAGAATTTTTTTTACGAGCTATATTTAGCCCCGCGCAAAAGTAAGGATCGAATTCATCGAATGCTACATGTGTCATTGCAATTTTCACCGCGCACCGTTCAGCGTAGTCGACGCGCGAGCCTCTTTCGCGTCTTTGAATGCCAGGCACGTCCTCTCGCGCGATTTGTCGTTTGCCCGCGTTCGATCGCTCCCAGAGTCCCCTTGAGCTCGTTCTCCAACATTCTTCGTTAATCTCCAATCCACAACATAATTCTTATTCCGATATAGATTAGTTCGGATGAACAACAGCTTAACGATGTTTATTCATGAGCTTCTTTGGCTCGCGTAAAAGGGAAAAAATGCTATCCGATCCCCACCGTCTGCGAATCGTCGCGTCGCGCTTCTCTATTTTAATGTGCGCGGGAAAAAAAAGATGAACGGTAGAATGATTAATTTACTTTAATTCCGATCGTAAATTCTTCACGCTCGTCCGGCATGCACGTGCATTCTTGCAATATAATGAATTACGTCGACGGTAGTTCTGGTTGGGAACACCTCAGACGGGAAGAAAACATCGCGAGCCGGTCGCATCGATTTCTTCGGCTATTTGCAGTGGTGACTGAACCGATGTTCGTCGTCGCGACAGCCAGGGACTAACGCGAGAGAACAAGCTCGGGCTCGCGTGCGTGTGCGCGTATCCGCGTGTGTGTGCGTGCGTGCGTGCGTGCGTGCGTGCGTGCGTGCGTGCATGTGTGAATGCGTGTGCGGCTACGTGGTACATTGGGTGCTTACGTCATTCTCGCTATTCCTGTTCCAGCCCATCTTCGTGGCGGCGTTCCCTGAAAACCCGTTGCCCTTAGGAATCTGCGTGCGAGAACATTAGGAGAGACTCCTCTAATCGTCTCTTTTTTCTCCCTCTTTCTCATGGAATGACCTCGACGATGTTTCGCCGTCTGTTACAAATCCGTAGATCACGGTCTCGGCGCCGCAGCAATGCCAGGATACGCCCATTTCGTCCTTTTATACGAAGCCAACGCGGCTAGAATGAATATTCTACTCCATTAAACAGAACGGATTAATTTGATTATCAACGATGGTGTCACATCTGAAATTCGCTTCAGTCCGCTTTACTTTAACATCGCGCAATTATATTTTTTTTCAAAATTCTATTATCCTCACGATTATTCCGCGTTTTCGCGTTGTATAATTTTCTCGAACGCGTCGCATGACACGGAAGTTATTTTGTTGCACTAACAAAAAATATTTATTTGTGAAAAAGCGAAACTTATTGATATATATTATCCGTTACAAATTACTTCTTTACTCTTTATTTCAGTCGTTTTTTTAAAAATTTCTTTATTCCTTTATTTCTTTACTTCTTTATTATTTTTTATTCCTACGTCGCGAAAGATGCCTATTCTATAGGAGTAGCCTCTGGAATAGTAAATTATTCAGTCCTTTTTTTTTCTCTGTAAAGAAAGAGACTTTTCGCGATATTTTTATTTCCAGGATTTGGAACGGACAGGACGTTTATTAAAAATTTATTACAATCGTCAATGACGTTTGCGCGCGAGATTTCGAGCTTTTTCTTCGAAATGAAAATATCGGTGCTCGATTTGGTGCGAAATGCGAGGGACAGTGTACGACGGCGTGGGATGCACACGGACATTTGACTACCCACGTAGCCGACCATAATACACCCGGCTTACGAAATGTCGAAGGTTTCGAAAATTCCACTTCGCGAAACTATCGATTTCGGAGAAAGCATCGTTCGCGCAATTTTCTGATATATTGGCTCTAAAACAGCTCTTCTGTCAAAGTTGGAAAAATAATTTTATTTGTTTAAAAAAATGTATTCTGCATAAAAACTAATTTTTTTATTTTAAAATTAAAGAATAGTATAAATGTTTCTGTTAAAAAATTTATTTAATTCTTTTTAAATTTTTTGCTAATAAGAAACTTAATATTTATTTGTTAAAAAAAAAAAATGATCAGAAATAAAGAAAATTAAATTTTTTATAAAAGTTAAATATTTAAAATGTGGATATTAATGTGAACGTTTCTTCTTTGATTCGTTTTGCAATCAGTTGCAGAATTTATTCCAAGATCAAAAAAGAAATAGAAAAGAGAAAAGTACTCGTTTTATTTCTCATGAAGACAGTTTTAATACTTCAGGTTATAAGAAAAGGAAAAACTTTCAATGTCAAACATGTAATTTCAAAGGCGAGAAAAATTAACTGTATATAAAGTCATTTATTTTCCTTCATAGGAGCCTCGTTTATTTAAGAAAACTCGCTACGGCTGGCTACGAAGTCAGATCATAGCGAAGGAATGGAAATTAAGAAGGCAGTAAACGGGTGCTCGCTACACGAGGATAAGCGAATAATTACGCAAGCGAGGTAACCACGGGATGGAGTCATTAATGCGCATCGCGGCGGATAATGAGGCGTATTGAAAACCGAAAGTAAAGTGGCTTCCGTTCCTGAGCTTCCGTCACGCGGCATAACTCGCGAGCTGAAGGATCCGTTGTCGTACATCCATCGTCATGTCTGTGAATCCTTCGGTCGTTGATTCTACTTGAGAATAACTCGGCACAGTGACGAAGGTAGACGTCCTGGCACCCCGCGCCTGCACTTTCGTGACAATCCTTGGCGAACGAGCTCTCGTTTGGTCTCGATAATCTGGTAGTCCTTGCACACCAAGCGTGACGCATAAAGTACAAAAAAAAGTGGACATTAATTTTATTTGCGCGACGTTCGACGCGCGGAAGACGGCCGCTGAGTCTGTCACTCTTTCGGTGACTTCAACGCTCGATATGAATGGACGGGCGCGCCGTCACTCGCAGTGATTTCAATGCCCGGAGAATGTCGCCTTCTGAGAATGTCGCCTTGGATGCAAATTTATTTTGACATATGCGGTGTCATCATTGTTTGAGTGCCATCGTACTCTCTGCTAAAAAAAGAGTGTACGTAATAGCCCGCTGGCGCCAGTCGTACTAACTAGGATTTGGTACACAGGGTGATCGTATACTTGAAAAAAAGAGGTCAATTATATCTCTCGATAATAGGCGCCTTCTCTCCGTTTTAAACTTAACTTTCTTTTGCTAAGTCAATTCGATAGAATGATAAATACAATTAATACAATTAACATACGAGGACAAAACGATAAACGAGGAATGATCGATGCGAAATTATAGATAATTTTAATTGTTCCAATTGTTCGCGTCAGCGATTGCTAAATGTGTTTTCCGCTTGTCTCACATTCGCACGTGTTTTCCGCTTGTATGACATTCGCACTCTCTTTAGATTTATCTCGAGACGGCGCAGTCTTATCGTCAGAACGGTCAGCGCGTTACGGCATCGGCTAATCTAGGAATTCCTGTTGTCGCGGAAAGAGGCGCATTATCGGATGTCGCGCGGCGCGTACGCGGCTCGCATTGTTGCGCAACGCGACGATGAATCAACGGATCGGCGTCGATCATTCACTGCGCCGGAGGAGACAGACGCGTGCCCAGCGCCGCGTTCGCAAATTGGCCAATTATCACGGTAAAACCACGTTCTACCGCCTAGTCCGGCACGCACGCCGCTATCGGAATGGTACACGCGACGCGCGGCGAAAATACCGCTTAGGCGAGGTGTTTAGCTTACTCGCGAACGACAAATATGTCTGTCGTATAATTTACGTATTTCCGTCCTCTTCCTTTTTTCTCCGTCGCGTTTACGATCTTGCGCGACGACGATATACGCGCGAGTTTACTCCGCGTAGATAATTATTTACGTAATAAAGGGCCCCGCGAAACAGGGGGCGCAGGGAAGAGAAGGGAAGGGGAAGGGAGATGCCGAGACCCGCGATACGCCAACTCGTCGTTGCACATCGCACCGGCGAGTTTATACTTTACCCGGAGAGATGCTTATCCCCGCCCCGTGTAATCACGTGCCCCGTGCTGATAAATACGGACGTATAAATTATAAATTTCGTTTGCTTATATTTTATCGCGGTCATCGTCAGCGCGGCTATGCTATTACGCATTTAGACGATTAGCCGCGGCAAAATTGATCTTCCTTATCTTTCAATACACGTGTACATCACGCGCGATTTATGCAAATTTCAACTTAGCATCGCTTTCATCGCTTCACAGAAGGGAAAGTAAAAAAGAAAAAGAAAATAACGTATAGAATTATTTCATTAAAAAAGTAAGGGGCGTGTGTCTTCTTATCGCTCGATTCTAATCTTTCTCGAATGATATCTCTTTTTTCTTTTACACAGGACAGGGCTTTACACAGGATTAGAGCGACGAAAGTGTAAAGCATTGGCGTAAATCTCATTTCGCGCACATTTGCGAGCGCGTGTTCCGCGCGAACCAATAGCCAATCGGCAGCTGGTTTGCAATGTGGTTTCGCGCAACAAACATCCCGGCCACCGTCGCAGCTTTTGAAATCCGATCGTGTCGCGCCGCCAGGTCGGACCTACCAACACCGGTCCCGGCGAGGCGGATGAGACACGTCGTCGAAGGGAATACGAAATGAACGCGCAGTATCCCGTTACCCACACACCAACAGGAATCGGCTTGCGAGCGCGTCTCGCAGGAATCCACCGGACGCAGAAAGGTGCCCTCCTGCAGGGCCGTAACGCTCCGGTCTGTAATTTTCATCGCGTTTTCCCTGCGCTAAGCAGCGAAAATCTAATTTTTCTTATATATTTGTTCTCATGCTGTGTAGAAAGAACGAAATTCAAAATCGAAACTGTATTTGATATTAAAAGTAATATGGATGAGATCATTGGCTTTTAACATGAAGAATTGCAAAATTGCCAATCATAATTAGTACGTTTTTTTTCTATTTATAATTCTTAGGATCTACGTATTTTTTTTATATTGTCTGCGTTCGTAATTATTATAATCTCCAGTAATGGATTCGAACCATTAATGTGCGTGTGCAAATAAGTTACAGCATTAAAGAGCGGTCCCAATCATATAACGAGGACGACTTTTTGAACCCAATTAATTTATAAGAATAATCACACCTCACAGAAATGAGAGAGCGTAAAAATAACTATCTCATGATGATTAAGAACATAAGAAACAGATTGAAAATGAGTCAGCGAAGAAATTTTTAACAAACTTTAAATTTTTCGTACATTTCATTTTATGAATATTCTTTCTTGCAGAACTAATTTTTTATGTAAAATTTTAAATATCATTTAGTCTCCGAAGATAGAAAAAGAACAGCATAAATATCTTCTTCTTCTTCTTTTTTTTTTTTAATATTCGTCCATTCTTGGCTTTGTTTTCACGGTGCAAAACAAAGTGCAAGAAGCATTTGCCCTCGTTTAGAAATTAACCGGTTCCCCGAGGCGTTTCTTTCAGTCACGGAATCTGTATTGCGCGGCAACATTGTAAGTTGTTGTAAATTTTAGGAAACGTGTCTGTTTATCTTCGCACGGCAGGATATTCAGTGCGTTCATTAGAGCTTCAAGGCGGCGCGTAGATGTTTATTCATAACGCGCCGGTTGTCCGCGTATACGTGGGGACCGTGCGGAGGTTCTCGCACTCTCGAATCGGTCAAATTGTACGAGTGCGTAGAGGTGCGCGCGATAAATTAAACATAATGGTGCAAAGTGTATATCCGCGCGTGTATCGCGGATTCTTCTCGCGACCCGCGCCTGCGAAACGCCCCGAGGCGCCCCCGGGTTCACCGACACCATCGCGCTTGCAGCCTCTACGAGCCACGGTGTCATTAAAGCCGATTGAAATCTACTTATTATCGTTATTAAAGTTTTACATGGATAATAAGTATAAGAAAACGAAGACACTTTTTTTTAATTACTCAAAATATCAAGATTCTTTTTTTAATTTTTTTTTAGCTGAATTAATTTAAATTATCCTAATCCTATCCTATAGTTTTGTTGATTTTACGAAATTAATTAGTTCAGCATTAGATCGTTTTATGATACCAATAATTTTATTCATTTACTCATTTACTCATTTAAATGAAGAGGTCGAATATAATTTAAAATAAAAAAATAGGTAAAAAGTCTGATTTCTTTTTAATTACATATCAGATTTTTCCTGTTTGCAATAGTTCGAAGTTTGAATAAAATTTTTAAAACAGTTTGATGGTATTTATAATTTTATTTTTCGATCTTCGATAGGAATGTGAGATGCAGCGTGGTATTCGAACAGATTTCCAACGTGTAAGGATTCACTTACAGAAATATCTTATTAGCATCTCTTTGGATCCTATAAATTTTTCTTTTCCATGGATCGAAGTAACGATCCGTGATGCAATCTTTTGAAGCATCGAGCAGCGATCCATGAGACTCTCGGTAAATCTGGCTTCCGTGAATCCGAGCAACGATCTGTTTATTACAAACAACGATGACCCTTATCTACAACGCAGTCTTTTATTTACTTTTTGTAAACAATTGATATTTTAATATTTAATATTTAGATGTTGCGAACGCATTCCTTTTTTTCTCTTCCAATTCAAACGATTATATGTTTATATACATATATAAAGTGATTAACATTACTTGTTATTTTTTACAATTTAAAAATGTTTCTAGATAGCTTATTTGCCTTCTTGCTCTTATTAATATCTCTCAATACATCGCCAATTACATTTGAATCGCTAATTGCTTTAATCGTTGATTTTTATGCGTTTGTACGGTAGAAGATTAGACTGTAATTTGAATTATTCTGTGCTCCGATAGATCATCCTGACGAGGAAATTACACTCGATGCAAAGATTAATACAGAAGTTATATAGCTAGGTAGTGTTCAAGCAAATGGACTTCAATTTGTATCTAATCATTATCTGGTTCAATCAGTATCGTTGACCTTTTCAGGAAGGAACGCCTGTTACCTTAAGATAATATCAACGATTCTTTTACAGACGCTGATAGCATTTGCGAAGAACGACGCTATCCAGCTGTTAATTCGTATTTAATAACTCTTCCGTAATTTGTTCCATGCCTCTTAGTCTTATTGTATCCTCCGTTCTGCGATATCATCTTCGTGAAATTGTGCGCCGCAGATGTGAATTAATTTAAGAAACAAAAATCTGCGTGACTTAACATTTAAGGGATTAATTGGATATTCCCAGAAATATATTCTGAACTTTATTTTAACATCTTTCTTTACAAATAATTCGAGAGTCGGATTTTTGTACTGCGCAGTTCTTAATATATTAATATTTTCTTTGATGTTAATGATAAATCACTATTATCTTCAACAT